TATTTACAATATTCTTAACCTACATAATGATTAAAAACTTAAATAATGGTCCCTGTACTCATGTACCTTTAACGCTGGCAGCATTTCCTCACTGTATTGCGATACTTATTCGTCGAGCGAGAAAGCAACAGCTTTGGGGTCACCGGTACTATCGACCAGGCGCTAACTTATTTCATTAGGGCACAGGCAACTTCGAAGTAATTTATATTTGGTACGGTATGCCTAAGTCTATTTTATTCTAATAAACCTAAAAATAACTTCGTCTTAATCGTTATCTATAAAGTTCATCAGGCAACAGACTTTGCTAACAATTATTTATTAATTTAATTTCCATGAAATATTTCAGAAGTTCAAGTTTTAGCTATGAGTGCAGTTAAATATATGTAATGGAATGATATTTCATTAATTTGAATTTGACGCGTCGGAGTGACCAAAAATGGCGGATGACGTGTAAATTAATTTAGTGGATTATAGTGTAAAAAGATAATAAGTGGACATTAAATGTCGTTTCTTTGTATTTCAGAGAAACAATTTTGTGTTTTCATTTAGAAAAAATCCATAATAATATTCCTTTATAAAACGACATTTTTGTTAACTAAAAGAAGATGGACCGGCTGCAATTTGAGTTCACGATGATGGCCTCAATCGATGGCAAATCTAATATATTGGCCATAACTTCAATATTGACAGAAGAAGGAAAATGTTATGTTTTACCTGATGAATTGAAGCCGGTGATTCATCATACATATATAGTTAAATTGAACACTTTTTCAAAAAAAAAAAATAGTATAAAGAAAAGGCACCAAACAGAAAGATATGGGTAAAATTAGATGAAGATCTAAAGAAAACATATATAGATGAGGAAGGTAATATGCAATTATTTAGAGGAAATGAGCACAAAACAACCAAGAGGCAATGATGATAATTTGCAACATATCCTGGAAAAATTAATAGAATCTACAACAAAAAAAGAAAATCAACATAATTTAAAACATGTTTCAGAGAAATTTATTATCGAAAAATTCACAAGTAAGAATCCTAATGCAGTCAATGGATAGAGAATTTTGAAAAAGAGTGTGAGCGTTTTAATATAACAAAAGATGAAACAAAAATAGATATATTGAGATTATTTTTAGAAAACTCAGTTTGGATTGGTATAGCTCGATGGTAATTAAACTATCAGTAAATTCTGAATGGAATGAATGGAAAACAAATTTTTAGAAACTTTTAGGAACCAAGGGTGGGATGTAGTCACAACTGCTTTCACATTCAAGTATAAAGAAGGGCTGTTAATTGATTATGCTATAAAAAAGAACGGCTTATACTAGATATAAATAAATCGATAGATTCCAGAACAATGATAGATCTAATTGCAACTGGTTTACCTAGTTTTATCTTGAATAAGTTAAACAGGGACGAACTCAACAACACTACTGATTTGTTCAACGAGATAAGAAAATATGAATGTATGATTTTCAAGAAAAACTCAACTATAACAAAGAATATATATTCTTATAAAAATAAAATTAATGAGAAGAAGCCATTAAGACTTGTGAATCTTTGGACAAAGGAATAGATTTCGGGAGGAGTTATGTTGGTTCAAGAAAAATAAAAATGAATCTGAAAAGGTTTTTAAAGCCAAAAAATGTAAATAATAATTCGATTATTGAAGTAGATATGAATACTGAGAAAAAAACAGTAAGTACACCATTAATCAAAATCAAGCTATTATTAGAAAATAAACTAGAAGTGTTTATGATTCAGGCTCACAGATCTCTTATAAATTCAAGATTGATTAAAAGTAAAAAAAAAAAAAAGACAATGTGAATATAACATATATGAAAACGGTTAATGGTGTGAAGAAGACAGATGGCTTGATAACAATAAAAATCAAAATCTTTGATTTAGAAGAAGAGGTTGATATATATATAGTAGAAAATGAAGATTTTGAGGATTTTATAATCGGATTGGATATGATAAAGAAGTTCAAAATTAATCCAAAATGAGGACTTGCAGATAGAACAAAGGAAAATAGACAAGATTCTAAAGATAACAGAAATGAAGATAAAATATAAAAATATATGCAATAAATTTCAATGAACACATAGAAACAGAGGAATTTGTTAGTAAGACAGATCATTTAGATAAAGAAAAAGAAAATTGAGATAGAAGAAGTTATAAATAAATATAAAACTATTTTTGCTAGGGACAAGTATGATTAGGATCAGTTAAAGATTATGAAGCTCACATAGATTTACTTTAAATACATACTGTATAAAAGACCAACAATGTACGATAGAAGATAAATTAGAAATCGAAGAACAAAATCAGATTACTAAAGAATAATTAATAGAAGAATCTTACAGTCCTTTTGCTCAGTGACATTAGCATTTAAAAAAGGTGAAAATAGAAAATCTCGATTATGTATAGATTTTAGAGAACTTAACAAAATTGTTGTACCACAAGCTCAACCTTTCCCATTAATAGATGATTTAATTATTAAGACAAGAAATTGTAAGTATTTTACTACTCTTATATAAACTCAGCATTTTGGGCCATACCACTACGGGTGGAAGATAGATATAAAACAGGATTTGTCACACAAGATGGCCATTTTCAGTGGACCTGCCTTCCTTTTGGTTTAAAAAACATCACCAGCAATTTTCCAGAGAGTTTTAAGTAATATTCTGAGAAAGCACAATCTCACAGGATACTCTGTAAATTATATTGATGACATTTTAATCTACTCCTCTACTTTTGAGACATATAAGACACATAAAAAATGTATTAGAGGCAATAATAAAAGAAGGCTTTAGATTGAAGTTTATGAAGTGTACCTTTGCCTCAGACTCAGTAAAGTATCTTGGCCATGTAATTCAAAACAACTCGGTAAGACCGTTAAAAGATAATTTGATTTCGATAAAACATTTTCCAATCCGAAGACACAAAAGATATCAGACAATTTTGGGAAAAAATTAACTTTTACCATGAATACATACCAAGGAGCCGATTTCTTAGATCCATTACATAAATTATTAAGAAAAAACGAAAAGTTTGTGTGGTCAGAGAAGTGTGAAGAATCATTTAATCAAATAAAGAGATATTTATGTTCTCAACCGGTATTGGAAATATATGTCAAAGACTTACCAATAAAAATCTTTACAGATGCACCGAGGGTATCGGAGCAATATTAAAACAAACACAACTGGACAGTAATGACAAACCAGTACATATTTTTCAAAAAAACTGAATGAATCTCAAAAACGGAAAAAAGCTATTACAGATGTTTTGCTATGAAAGAAGCAGTCAAATACTGGCAACACTGGCTCATTGGAAAACAATTCACTATTTACTCAGACCACAAACCTTTAGAAAACATGAACATTAAATGCAGGACAGACGAAGAATTGGGTGATCTCACATACTACCTGTCTCAATACGACTTTACGGTAAAATATATACCTGGTAAAGAAAATGTAGAAGCAGACTGTTTAAGCCGAAATCCTGTATTAGAATCAGAAGATAAAAAGAGGAATTATTGAAAATTGTTAATTTAATACAAATAAAGGATATAGTTGAAGATCAAGAGCAAAATGAAACAATAGAAGAAAATAAAGAAAATCTAATACAAAAAAATACAATATATTATAAGAAAATAAAGAAACATGAAAAGATTATCCTCTCAGAAGAATTTAGTAAGAAACTTATCAAAAAGGTGCATGAAGATTTATGCCCTAGGGACGTTGCAGAAAAAAATAAGTCCAATATACACAGCTAAAAACCTAACAAAGAATATCATAAATATTTGTAAAACATGTAAATATGCATAAAAAAATAAATCAAGAGGTCAAGGAAATTTTGATTAATGTCACAACTGGGACCAGCAACAAAACCATTTGAGATAATGTCAATGGATACTATAGGTGGCTTGGAGGATCTAGATCAACAAAAAAGTACCTACACCTTTTAGTAGACCATATACAAGATATGCATTTATTGTACGTCAAAAACACAGATGCAAGTGATTTTATAAAACTAACAAAGAATGTACTAGAAACAGATGAGATTGGAATAATTTTGACAATCAATATCCAGGCATCAATTCAAGAGAATTTAAGCAATATCTACATGAAAATAATGTTAAATTAATTTTTACAGCTGTGAATACACCATTCTCAAATGGCTTGAATGAAAGGTTAAATCAAACAATAGTTAATAAAATAAGATGTAGAATAAATGAGAAAAATAATAAGAGAACATGGACAACAGTGGCAAGAGAATGTGTAGAGAAATATAATGAAACAGAACACTCCGTTACAGGTTTTGCACCAAAATATTTACTGGATGGTACAAATGTCAGATTCTACCAAATGAATTAAAAATAATAGAAGGAGAAGAAAGTGGATTGCTGATAAAAGATTGGCATTAGAAAATACAATAAAATCCCACAAGTACAATAAGAAAATATTTGATAGAAAAAGAAAAATGCAAGAGTTTAATATAGGCGACAGTGTATATGTTGAGAATGGAAATAGACTGAATAGAAAGAAATTAGACGAATTAAAAATAGGTCCTTTTAAGATAGTAGGGAAAATATCGAACTCCATTTATAGGATTGACACTGGTAACAGAAAAACAGAATCAACTTTGTTCCACATAACAAAATTACAACCGGTTACAACAGAATCTGAAGAAGATGAAATATAAGGAAAACGAATATGAAGATAGCTATTAAGTATAGTGTGTAGATATATTATTCAGAATTTTTTCTCTTAGGGGGAGATGTAATGGAATGATATTTCATTAATTTGAATTTGACGCGTCGGAGTGACACCGATAAAATGGCGGATGACGTGTAAATTAATTTAGTGGATTATAGTGTAAAAAGATAGATAAGTGGACATTAAATGTCGTTTCTTTGTATTTCAGAGAAACAATTTTGTGTTTTCATTTAGAAAAAATCCATAATAATATTCCTTTATATATATTGTTGCTAGAAACTAACCTTGCAAAAGCTGAATCGTGGCTTGGTACTCTGCAAGCTTCTCATCCACATATCCTTCTTGAGACTGGTTCGCTATGATCTCAGCTGTCGATGGACCTCGTTCTTCATCCTCCTCATATATCATCGGCCTCGGTGGTGGTGGAGGCTCCAACGGTCCGCCGGCGTAATCATACTCTCGTGTTTCATACGGCGACGAGTAATAGTATTCAGGACTTTGGCCCAACGTTGGCGAAATGGGGTAAGGGGAGGTCGGATATGGAGAGATGGAAAAATGAGAGCTAGGTGAAGGTGAGTGTTGTCGTAAATGAGGAGAGTGGAGTGGACGGAAGGGTTTTGGAGAAGGTTGAACTGGTGGGGGAGAAAGGATAGCTGTAGAGTGTCGTGGTCCAGATATCAAAGGTGGGGGGCTTGGGGCCCACGGGGAGGGCGGACGATAGTGAGCAGGAGAGGGAGGTCCCGGGTGACGCGCGCGGCCGCGTCCGTGGGGCGTTTGTGACATCGCGGGGATTGATTCGTCTCAATCCGGTGTGTCACGCCCAAATGTGCATCGCTGGAACAAGAAAAATCCGTTATAGATGATGAACATAAAAATCGTTGATCGCATTCCAATTACTAGCAAGATAAGATGTTTTTAAGGCTAAGCGCGCTCATATCACCGTTACATTATAAAGTTTTTGTCATTGTCACGTCATGATTCTAAAGTGGAGTGCGCACACGAAGGGTGACAGTGACAAAACTTTTTTGAAAGCGTCATTTGCCGATATGGATTTCAAAGAGACGGTCGCTGTCTGTGAACTTATCAGACTCAGAAGGAAAAACAGCGAAAAGAATACTGGGTACACCCCCTTTACTCTTTAGAGTCACACGCTACTAAGTGGAAAGTTCTACGGTATGTTCCGTAAACTTCGAAAACATCCAAAGAAATTTTTCCGTTATTTCCGAATGGTGTCAGAAGAATTACTTCCTGCAACTACCTGGGAGATTAATTAGTCTTCGCTATATTTGACGATATCGCTAGATCCGCTTATCGTATGCTGAGATAATACTCAATTTATAATAACCAATTTTTTTTAATAGGAATCTACGGGCCGCCCAAAAAGGGCAATCATCGCAGCCTTTGGACACCAGATTAAATATTTTCAGTTGAGAAATTAAGTTTCGTATTTTCCAAGGTTATTTTACCCAGTGTACGCTTTAATTAATTCTGTAAGTCATAAATCTACATTATTCACGTACGGATGTCAGTCTAAGCTCATTTCTGAAACTCGCCCTAAGTTTCCACTTAAAGAGTAAAAATCTGAACAAAACGATATTGCAAGGACGGTTAAAACATAACTCATCAGTTTGTAAGCTCCGATATCATGGAAAACAAATGGATAAGGTGGCATGAAAAATCATAAATTTACGTAACGACATAACTTCCCGAAGTAACCGAGGCAACAACCCAATTTTATCAAATTATTTACGAGTCACGAAACCCACTTATTAGTTACAATATTTTACATAGAAGTTTTTATATATAAAGATTTTTTGATTTCTATTTAATTTCCAAAACTCAAAACATATTCTTTTTCTTGGTAGATCCCATTCGAAGAAATAACCTCAAAGACGACCATTTGAACTTCTACAATACTGCTTAAATTGTAGTTGATAATTTAATATAAAACTTGTGTTGAACACATACTATATATTAGGAATATATGTTGCTAATCAAATTACATATACATATATAATGTTTAACAGATTCTTCGAAAGCCAAGTTAATTTTTTTAAATAATCGGATTTAGACTTTTAATTTCAGTAGATATAAACTTTCAACTACAATAATTGTGATATAAAAGTATCATTTCTGAAATAGAAAATTAATAAAATATCATCATAACAAAAATTAACATCAGCCTATAAGCATAGCTTTGTTTTCTGGTTCGAAGTTGTGTCTGATCCACAGAATGTTAAAACAATATATCACAACTGTCAGTTACAAAACTGCGGTTCAAAAACCATTCGTTATACTCAGCAGATGGCCAGTACTGGCTCGGGAATTGTACGAACCAAGATTACCTTAATAATGTTTCACTTTAAGATAACACAAGATTTGTGTTTAGAACTGGTTTATTCCTACCCAAGGCATCTCTTTAATATTAATGTATTTGAAATCCTATTACGGGGCAGGCACATTCTCTATATTTATCAAACAAGGTCATAAGTCATTTTGTCGAAATCGAAACTATTTTTGTTCGTCGTGTACAATGTTACACGCACATTGTGCTTGTGCGGTTTTGAATAGGATCAAAGAAGTATTTCAATTAAAGACGTTATTTATAGCAGTTTGGGTTGTAAACAGTTTCCTTTATTATTATAAAAAGGTAGTACTTTATTATTAAGCAAAGGTTTTATTAATGGAGAAACCCAAGTGTTCTCCAAGAACTCTGTTTCTTTGTACCTGGGGCATATTATGTGCGTCGGCGAAGGCCAACGTTGTTTGCGATACCAAGGGCCAGAACCAGAAACAGACTGCAAAGACAGTTAGCAAAGACGTTGCGCCTACAGAATGCTGTCTCCGACACTATCGACATATTTATATGTTCGCAGAATTAATTCACTCGAAATTTTCTTTTTTCATTTGTAAGGATAATGTATTTCTGTAAATAAATAAATACATTTTTGGTGGATTCTTCTCCGCTCCGAATAGCAGAATAAGTAACAAAATATCGGATAAGTTATCGAATAACAATAAATTAATTAATTTTACGAATTCAAACACCATGTGGTGCCATCTGTTGACAAAATTACGCATCATTTTACATTGAATTCGTGTCATGACGTTCAAGAAATTCTGATCTTGAAGTGAATGAAATGATGTTAGGCGGAACGAAGTTAGCTAGTACATTATAAGAGCCATGCGTTGTCCAACTTAGGCGATTTCTACTAATTATAATCAAACAAAATTAAGCCAATCGTAAATATCCTAACATAGGTATTTAATTTATAAAATCACCAAATACAAACATTACACAATAGGAAGCACATGACATAGTCAACGACCTCAACAAAATGGCTGTCAGCCAGACTGTGAATTCAATAGACCAGCAGTTCCCTAGAAGACACCTGGCCAAATTCCAACTTACGGCTTTGACAATGGCGTATTTTTAATTATTACTTAATGAATATTATTAATAATGCAACCGTTTGCAATAAATTATTAGAATTGGAGTTTTTTTAAATATATTATTCACGTAGCTTCTTTTAATATATCGCATGGGAATTCGTAACTGAAATATGTAACATAATGGGGTGTATGGGCAACCACAGGTTAGTTTCTCTGTGTTTTACCCCGAGAATCTTAAAATCTATGACTTCAGTGGTTTGATAAGGGAATTTAGATAAGAGAGTAAAAGGATATAAGTATACATAGGAATTTATATGTTTTTTATGTAACAGAAGGCAAATGGGCAGGGGGCTCATCTGATGTTTAGTGATACAGCCGCCCATAGCCACTCACATTGCCTCGCAAGTGCAATTTCGACTTTTTAAGAACTGCTACGCTCTTTTCTGGAAGGCAAATTGGTTCGGAAATATTTCAGTGGGCAGCTGGTTTCACGCAGATGAGGTGCACGGCTAAAACTGTCTTAAGAAACGCTCAGTTGTAGAACGACGGTCTTCGAGGTGATAAGGATGGTATTTTGTATTTTGCCTTGACCTCTGATGATGAACTCAGCTGCAAGCATTAATCCGAACAACTCTCCTCTGAACACTCTCCATGGTAAATGCGGTACACCCCCCATCTCTACGCAACGCCAAGAGATCAAGCCGCTCGGTCGTCGACGATTCGAAATGCCTTGCGATTCTGTAACTCACTCACTCATTTTATGATTTAGCATTCTGATACGGAGGAAGCTTGTAGTTTATTGTTTATCAGAATGCCAAATCGTAAAATGACTGCTTTACGGCTGATTTGAGCGCGCCGCTGTGAAAACCGCTGTGAGAGTTCGAAAAGTGAGTTACAGAATCGCAAGGCTGTTCTTCGTTGCATACGGCCCCTCTCCAGTACCAGCTCCTTCCACTTGACCGGAGGTATCATAGAAACAAATACAATCTGACGCACCTACATAGTCTGTAGCGGCAATATTATTTCCACTTTCATTTGTAATATTTTCACAAGAAGCGGTGATTTCTGGTGTAACACTTCTAATAGATAAAATAATGTTTATTGCGAAACATGTCATCTGATGCGTATTTCCAGTTTATCGTCCCAGGATCATAAATGTGTTGTCATTATTATGCAATGATATTTGGCAGTAAATTAAATCTAAATTTACTCATGATACAACTATAAATGTTCACAAAAATAGGAGCATTACAATGCAGCTTGCGTGTTGTTTCCACAATATAAGTGCGTGCTCCTATTTCGCCATGCCTCCTGCTGATACCTCCTAAGTATACTGAGTCATCTAACAAATTTAGGTATTTGTTTTTTTTATACAAAAGTACATAATAAACCATGATCTTAATGTTAGTGTTATTTTTTTTTAAAAAAGACCTAAATTTCCGACATAATTTCACGTATACTAAATCAATTTCAATCATTAAAATCGTACATTGTATACTGATCCAAATAACATTGTATCAGTGTTCGCGGGGCGTGAGGAGGGACGCATTGATACAAGTTTATTATGGCTCATTACGACAAATGACGCAGGGCGCGAAATTTTTTAATTTTCTCAATAATAAGGTGAATAATACTAATGATACAATTAGCAATATCTCAGATCGGTGATATAATGCAAAACAGGGATGAATATGGTAAGTTACATTGATTACTTTATTTTACATAAGTGATTTTGCCATTTTTGTTTGATAATTGTTACACGTCGCTTAGTACGCCGTATACTGATACAACTATATTTACACCTGTTTACAACGAACAAACTTTATAAAAGAAGACACTTGACTTATCTGGCTTAATAATGTACTAATTCAATTTTTGATATATTTGTTTTAATTGTGGTATAATATATTTTTTTATGTGTTATAAATTTTATAACTTGATATTGGCACGTTAAATATAAAAATATGAATTCTTGTGTTTTTAATTGTTGTTTGTTTTAGAGTCTCCATTGCACCGGATGCAATTGCTATTTTATGGAAGATTTATGGAAGATGCAAATTGCAAAAAAAAATGCAAATTTATGGAAGAGGAGCTATCAATACTTGATGATATTGATTAGAATGATAGCAAGGAAGTATCGCAGAATATCCCTTCTAATGCTTACATATTATTCCTAGATTATATTATTCTTTGCTCTTCGCCTTGGGTATCGAATGTTGATAACTGAACTCAAAAAGGAGATCGATCGCATCAGTCATAGAGAACACTCCAGGTAATTCGCCCATCAGATAGCATTATAGAAAATTATTGTGATATTACTCCAGTACCATCGCCGTATAATTCTTTTGACTCTCTCCTGTTAATTTCTGACATTAATGATATCACATACT